GTGTGTGTGTGTGTATTTACTTTAAAAATATTTAGAAGGATATGTCAAATGTAATACTTATGCTTCCTGAAGGAAAACATTATGGGTTACCTTTCTCTCTCTTTCTTTTTTATCTACACTTACTAACTTTTGTACAACAAAAACATGCACTACTTATATAATTTTACTTATTATTTTAAAAAATTTAAAAAGTATTTTTTAAAGTAAACAGATTCACAGTAGTATTAACAGAAAAATAAACCACATCTGGAACAGCTCGGACAAAGTCTGAAGGATTTCTGGGCTCAATGCTGAAGAAGACAGAGAGTGAAGTTCCGGGGACCCACACCACTCTCCAAAACCCCAACTCCCTCCTCTCTGGACAGGATGCTCAAAGTGATTTATATACCATTTAACAAATTTTATCCTCTATACCACACAGTTCAGGCAAGAGAGAGCACGAATCACCACACAAAAGCAGCACAGTTCCAGCACCTGCCGATTCTGCCAAGGAGACTGGTTTCTACCAACTTACCATGTAATTATGTCTAACACTTGCTTTACAATCCAGTTTATGGATTCTGGATGTTTAAGAAACAGTTACTACTCAGTTCCCTGCTATTAAACACTAGGTAGTTACAACAATTAATTAATAATACCCGTAGGCTATCAGGAGTCCATAATACTACCAGCTGGTCATGCTCTCCCGGTTGACATTATCATCTGGATCGGCCTCGCAGCTCAAAGAACATGCTTCTTTTTCCTTATGGCCCCTTCCCTAGTGGGTACCTCAAATTGGGGTGCTCAGGAAGAATGCATGCAGGCAATATATATTTGCATTATCTGCTGTTCCTCCAAAGGGGAAAACCCCTTTTGTAATTACAGACACACTTCCCTCAAGTGGAAAAATAAATCTATGTATATATGTGGATTTTTGCACAGCATATCAGAATTATACACTGCCAACCTTGGCTGCTAGTATGAGCTCAAAATTATCCCAAACCCCTGAGCTGCCTCATTCTTCTTTTCCTACACCAATTTTTCCTGGCACTCATTGTACCCCTACATCTCAACTCAAGGATGGGATGGTTTTAAGCAAGGCATTTCACTGCCCACTGAGATTCCATTAGGAATCCACTCCCACCAAGCCATGGACTGAGTATAAAAAGTGTTCTTGAGCCCTCCAGCCCCATCTCTTCATACTCACTGTTACTGGACTTAAGGTCGCGGTGGATGATGGGGACAATTGCCTCATCATGTAAGTAGTTCATCCCTCTGGCAATCTGCACAGCCCAGTTCACCAGGATGTCTGGGGGAATCCTTTTCCCAGATAACACTCTATTCAAAGGCCCTCCACGTGCAAACTCCATGACCAAGCAGAGGTTGGGTTCCTTCAGACACACACCCCTAAGGGCAATGATGTTGGGGTGCTTCAGCATGGCAAAGAGCTTGGCCTCCTGGCGAACATTCTCTATGGTTTGGCTGATGTCCTCATCGGGGTCATGGCGAGCTGCTTTCACGGCAACCTCATCCCCTATCCAGAAAGCACGATAGACCTTCCCAAAGCCCCCGATGCCAATAATCTCTTCCAGGGTTAGCTCCGCAAAATCAATCTCTAACACTGAGAAAGAAAAGAAAAAAAGAAGTCAAAAACATTCTGAAAACACCCTTGAATCACCCATTTACCTGGAGGGTTAACAGCAAGTTGTCTGTTCACTTGGCTTTTTTGTCTCCCCACTGTAAGGAAAACTCCAAAAGGGCAGGAAATGTTAACTTATTGCATTATTCTTAATGACTAGCACATAGCAGGCATTCAACAAATATTCATGTAATAATTTCTATTTGGGACATCATACACAATGTCATACCAAGACAAACCATTTTAACTAAAGGGAACACAGAAGGAGATCGTTTTACTGTGTACTAGATGAGGAGACGCGTACAACCCAGTGACAAGGCAGCCACACAACAACCAAACCACGGTGTGAAAAGAACCTTTATAGCAGTATAATCAGATCAGGAAAAACACCAACTCCCACTGCAGGACAAGGATTAAGAGGGTGAGTGGGAAAGGATTCTCAGGGAAAGCAACATTGGGAATGCACCCTAAAGAATGAGTCTGCTAGAGGGGAGCACCTGGCTGGCTTGGTCAGTAGAACATGCAACTCTTGACCTCGGGGTTATGAGTTTGAGCCCCATACTGGGTGTAGAGATTACTTAAAAATAAAATCTTAGAAAATGAGTGGGAGGGATCTCATCAGGCAGTGAAGATCGGGGTGGGAGAAGGACAATCCAAGCAAAGGGAAGGTCACGAGCAAGAACATGGGGCATGAGAGTATATGGCATATTAAGAACTGTGGGGAGTCCAGTATGACTGCATTAGATGCATTAGGATACAAAATGAGGCTCAAAGTGTTGTTGGGGTCACCTAGGCTGTGAAATGTTTTAAAAGTCATTCTGAGAGGCTTGACCTTCACACTGTGAATGATAGGACTAGCGCATTTTTAAGTAGAGGAGTGCTTTTAGACTGGGACTTAGAAAGGACATCGACTCTGGCAGCCATGTGGACTATAACCTGGCGGATGGGGAGCCTACTGCAAAAGGTACCACTAAGGAGGCCACTGAAATAACCCAGGCATGCAAACACCAAGGTCTGAAATAGCAGCAACAGTGAAGACAGAGAGTGTGCAGTAAACTGGGAGGATATTTTCAAAACGCGGTTCTACCAGGACCTGGTGACTAGGATATGTGGGAAAGGAGCCTCCCAGGAGACATCTTACTCCAGAAGTCACCTGCTCCACAGCTCTATCCTGATTCTCCCAGTACCACACCCAACCACTCATCTTCTTTCCAATGCAGAGTTTGAATCTAGGGTACCTGATTATATCTTCCGCTCTGTTTGGAAAGGCTTCCATGGATAGATAATAATAGCTATCAGTGATTATAAATCTTGAGCTAGATAAGGTGTTGCTATATGAGTAAAGTGCTATTTTATGTTTCTCTCATGAAAACCCTGTGCTGTGTCTTCTCAGTTTGTCTTTACCTGGCTGACTCATATTCAACCCTCAGGTCTCAGCTTAAACAAAATCTCCTAAGGGAACTTTTCCTAACCCTTGCCTCAATGAGGTCAGGCCCCCATCAAACATATCCATAACAGTCTCTGTTTGGCAAGACTCAGCAAGGCTTAATTACTTGTTCAGTGCCTGCTGTCCTGCTAGATTGTGAGATTCACAAGGGCAGATTCTGTCTGCTTTACTCACCACTGTACTCATCCTGCTGAACACTCAGCAGGTAAGTGATAGTCAAGTAAAATGGGGGCAAAATCTAACTCAGTAGGGACTAAACCAAACTCAGACAGACCTGAAAAGTTGAAAAAAAAAATGCATTGGACCTCCTGAAACAGATAGAGAAAATAAAGTTGCTAAAAAACAAAACAAAACAAAACAAAAACAAAAACAAAAAACCGAAGAAAACAAAGATATATTTCTGAACTTTTGGCAAGATCAGAAGAGGAAATGCCCACTGCTGTTCTCTTCCTTCCTCAGCCAGCTCCAGGATGCCTCCATCTTCCACTCAGATGCTAGCAGTCCTCAAACCTCTATTCTCCCTGAATTAGAGTATTCCTAGCCTATCTAGGGCTAACATTCATTTGTAGTTTACAATGCAACTGGCAGTCTGCACAAAGGAATACAAAAAGTTACACAGAAGGTATAGCCCATCTTGACCCAAAAGTTTCAGCTGTTCAAGCTTTTCATCTCCATCTGGCACTCTTCTTGAAGAATCAATGGTGTGGCTGGTCCTGCAGACAAACAATCAACATCTGCTCTACAATTCTCTACATGATCTTTCGGAGGCCCGAAAGTTAAGAACTACATTTCCCAGACTCCCTTACCGCTACTGTTCTGCTTCTGCCAATTAGATGCACAAGATAGGGAAGGCAGAAGTGAGATGGACACCATATTCTTGCTTTTCTCCTCGCAAGCATGGCTGTGGAGAAGTAGGATTTTCCTGCATGTCAGTCATTAGCTCTGGGCAGATGGGAGAAAGGAATGTTGTAAGGTCAAGTGGTTGCCTAATCTCTGGACAGTAACTACAAGAGGGTGTTCCTAAGATTGACAGCTTCATTGTCACCCCCTGATTCTGTATGTTTCTAATCAGAGAAGTGGTGGCTTGCCGGGTGGGCCAGGTCTGCAATGTTCTGAGAGTTGTTCCCACAGATCCAGCTAAGAGCCCCTTCTCCCTGCCCTTCCAACACTTCTGTAAGCACTCATTTTCCTGTGCTAACTCACTTTCTGCTTAAAATAGCTTAAATGTTTCTGGGTCCTAAAATGAATCCTGATTACTAATTCTTGTCTTATCTCATTTATATGAATGAGAAAAACATGGGTATATTAAGGGGCTGTTAGAAACTGTCTTGGAAAGGAGCGCCTGGGTGGCTCTGTGGGTTGAGTGTCCGACTCTTGATTTCGGCTCAGGTCACGATCCTAGGGTCATGGGATTGAGCTCTGCACAGAGCTCTATGCTGAGCGTGGAGTCTGCTTAAGATTCTTTCCCCACCCCACCCCCGTGCACCTCTCCCTGACTTGTGTTCTCACTCATACACACACTCTCTTTCTCTCTCCATCTCAAATAAAAGAAAAAAAGAAAAAAGAAAAAGGAAACCCTCTTGGAGAAATATGTAAGTTATGTCAGGACGCTCCTTGGTCATGGAGGGAAGGAACATTCACTTTTCTTTTCTTTTTTTTTTTTTAAAGATTTTATTTTTAAGTAATCTCTACGCCCAATGTGGGGCTTGAATTCATGACCCTGAGATTGAGTCACAGGCTCTAATGAGCCAGCCAGGTGCCTCAAACATTCACTTTTTCTAACAGCTTCTACACTGATGAAAAGATATGTCTCTGTAACAAGTTGGCATTTACACATCTTATTTCCTCAACTGAATATCTGAATTTTCCTTAAGGGAATAAACTGTTCAGTATTTTGTTTTATACCCTCCCTTCTTTCCTCTGTTCTGAGGCATAGTTGTAAACACACAGGACGTGTTAAGTACTTATTTAAACGTACAAGGATTTAAAAGAAGGGATTCTGAATCAGGGTGCTGAAAGGACAGCTCCTCAAATGGCATTTCACAGAAGACGGAAAACCTCTGTGGGGAAGGGAAAGTGATAATCTCTCTCTGGTAGAACATAAACTCTCAGGTTCTTGCTAACTAGCTAAGGAAATAGTATGACCAGCCTTCAAGAAAAGTATAGAGCACAGCTTGCAAGCAGATAGAAGACAGAACAGTGAGGACTGGGGGGAGGGTTCTTTCTTTTCTTCTCCCTGTGAAGATTCCTTTGGGTAGGAACTAGACCTTCACTGCAGCTGAGAGAATGTGGGGCTCTCCTTTCCCCCTCCAGTCAAGACCTGGTTTTAAGTAAAAATCAGGTCAAGTCACATTCAGTACATTTTTCAGTTTCTGTGGATGGATATTTTCAGGAATATCAAGAACAAAACCTTATTTCTTTCGTTTTTGCAGTCAAGATGTTATTCTCTCTCAATTGTATTCTTGGAAACTAAATGTATAGGCACATTCTGGTGGGTTTGGGCGAGGGAATGGTACACACGTGACTCATTTAAAAATCCCAAGTATGCCTGAAAATACATTCTTATGTTTCTAGTAGATGTAAGAAAAAAATGTAAATTAGCAATAACCTTAATTTCTACCCTGCTTGAAAACAGACACAATCCTCCCGTAAAGAAACTGTTGTTTTTTTTTTTAAATAACCTAGGGCTATTTATCTCTCATGATGATAAATTTGGAACTGTACATTTTTCCTCTTTCGCTAAAAAAAAAAAAAAAGATGAATGAGTTCCTAGGTTATTTGTATTTGTCAGCTCCATGGACAGCTAAACTTTCATATCTACATTGGTGGGGATAACTGCACTATGTAAATATTAGATGATTTCTAGTATCACTATTTTTTTTAAATTTGTCACAAGGTTTGGTAATTTCCCCTCTTTTGTTTTGAATGAAGTTTGAAACAAAATTTTCAGTTTGAAAAGCAATATTTGAAACTAAAACTGAACATTATTACTTAACTGAGTGTCTGCTGTTCTTAATCTAATGTCACAATTCATGCCTCAAAGGAGAAATTCAAAAGGGTAACTGGGGAAAAGCTGTCAGTGGCTCAATTTTATTCCAAAGTCTTTGGAGACAAGGTTGCCAATCACCTTTATTTTCTGAGTGACACTAACTGAACTGGTGGACACAGGAGACCCATCAGAACTTCCCATGTTCATCTTTACCAAAGCACTGCACTGAAATGATGTATTTACATCACCAATCTCCCTCAGGCATGACTTACAAGCACCTCCGTATCTTATTATTTCTTTATCTCTTGGTATTTAACACAGTATCCATCTTTCACAAGGCACTCTAATTGGTTTTTGGATGAAATTAAACTTTCTGAATTATCAAGAATTAATCCCATTCAAGTTCAGAACTCGTGGTGAGACTAAATAAGTTACCAGGACCTTCAAAAATCATGTTCTTCAAGTCAGTTCTTTTTTTTTTTTTTTTAATTTTTTTTTCGCTTTCCAGCGTTTATTTATTTTTTGGGACGAGCGAGCATGAGCGGAAGGGGCGAGAGAGGGGAACTGGGGCTCCAGGCTCTGAGCCATCCATCAGCAGAGCCTGACGGCGGGGCCAGAACTCACGGACATGGTCGTGACCTGTGAGCTGAAGTGGGGCAGCTTAACGACTGCGCCACCAGGCAGCCCCAAGTCGATTCTTTTAAATGCCATGTCTCTCCCTCTCCCTCCTCCTAGCTCTGTCTCTATCAAAAAATGAAGAAAGGATAAAAAAAAATTTTTTTTTTCAACGTTTATTTATTTTTTTGGGACAGAGAGAGACAGAGCATGAACGGGGGGGAGGGAGAGAGAGGACACAGAATGGAAACAGGCTCCAGGCTCGAGCCATCAGCCCAGAGCCTGGACGGGGGCTGGAAACGGCTGCGAGAGTTGCGTGACCTGGTGAAGTCGACGCTTAACATCGCCACTGCGCCCAAAATTTTCGTTGATTCGAATGAGGATTGTAAGTCTGAGTACACTGTGTGGACACATCTGGTGTTCTGCAGATGAGTTCTTCCAGCCCAAGTCATATTCTACTGCCTCTGCTCTTCACAGCTGGAATACTGAGACACAGTTAGAAACTGAGTCCCTGCTCAGGAGCCTCACATAGCTGTCCTACTCTGACATTAGCTGTAAAAAAAAAAAAAAATCACAAGAAGTCACCCACAAAGAAACTCACAATTTGACTTCTGTTTAAAACTACACTGTGTCTAATATGCCAGGCCGTTCTTCCAATATCTCTTCCAATATGTGACCATGTTCACCTTCAACACTATTTCAGACCCGTATGCTAGGACCCTTAGCCTACACCTTCCCAGTACTACAGGCAAAAAGATTTAACACTCAGAAACAATTTAAAGTCATTTGTCCCCTCCAGGCTTTATATAGATCAAATTGTAGAAACACGAAGTTTTAAATTGAATGAGAGGGAGATAAAAACAAAGGGAACTAAGGATTTGAACATCAATTTGATAGTCAAAACACCAATAAAAAAGGAGAACAGAAAAATAAGGAAAGAGGTTGTGACTTTCATATTAAGTGATGGTATTTTATAAACATCTTAAATAAAGTAACACAATTCTTCAGGTGAAAATAAGTTATAGGACCAGAAAGATAAATGGTTTGTTTCAGAAAGATAAATGTTACAAATGAAATTTAAAAATTCAATGCCTGAAGTTGGCCCTGGGAATGATTTTTTTAATTGGCTAAAATGCAAAGTATACAAAATCTGGAATAAACAATAATAAATATGTATTAACAAAACCTGTATTAGCAAGAAAGAAATTAAGAGAACCCTCAAATATAAAACAGTGTAAACTGCACAGAAGATATTTACATCTTCCTTCTAAAACCACCTAGCAGAACTGATTAAGGGATTCTAATGGCAATTTAACTCCTTTAAAACAAAACAAAACAAAAAAGGGAATTTTATAGCAGGGTGTGGAACAGGGGGCTCCTGGGAAACTGATGAAAACCAGGACACTGGAAGAAAGGCCCTGGGAGGGACCCGTGGGCATGGTTCACTTGAGATTTGGCAAATACCAAATATAGGCAAGGATCTAGGATGAGAAGAAAGGAGAAATGTATTATGTGAACAGCCTGGGTGTCAAGAGACTGGGATTTAGCCACTCTCAAGGGGGAAGATCTTTTTCCCTCTCTAATCATTTCTCACCCCATCACCTGCTTCTCCACACACTAGACCCTTCTCAGTGAGACTCCTAAAGGTACAACTTCTGAGATACATGATTGCGATCCAAGAAATAGACAAGACGTTTCAAAGACACTTCCGACCCGAGTTCACACAGGCTTCCGGGACTTGAGAGCCGGCCCAGCCAGCCCTGCGGGAGACACCCCCATCTGCTCCCTAGCAAATGCCTTGAAGGGGCGGGGACAGGCGGCAGAAGAGGTCAGGAAGGTCCCTGATTTGGGGACTAAGGTTAGGACAGAAACTACCAGCTGGCCTGAAATCCTTCCACAGTTGGGGGGAGCGGGGAGTGGGAAATGGGGAGATTCTCACGCTGGGGCTTCAGGAGGTGGAAAGCAGACGCTGCCGCTGAGGTGGTCAGATGAAGGTTAAGGAGCCCGAGCGCCTGAGGTTCCAGGCAAGGCCTGCGGCATCTCTACCTTACCCATCGCACCCACCAAAGCCCCTACAGCGCGAGCGCGCGCGCACACACCCACCCGCGGGTCAATCATTCCCCACCCGTTACGAGACCACCCCTAGGCCTCCAGCCCCCGCTCCCCGCCCGGCCCCGCGGCCCCGCCTTCGCCTTACACTGAATGGGCGGGTAGCAACTGGGGTCCTCGCCGCCGTGCTGGCAACGACTGGAGAAGGCGCTGCGCGGGGTCACGTAGTTGCTGGGGAAGATGCCCACCCGCTGGTTTAGCTGCCCGGTCCACCAGCCCTCGTCGCCAGACACCTGCGAGTCCTTGGACAGCACCTCCACCACGTCGCCCAGCCGCAGGGTCAGCTCGTCCTCGCCTGCAGCCTCGTACTCGAACACCGCCGTCCAGTAGGGCAGCGGTGCTTCGGAACCCAGCTCCCCGGGGGCCGCCGCCGCCTCCTCCTCCTCTTCCTCCTCCTCCTCGGCCGCGGCCCCCGCTCCATCCTCCCCCGGCGGGGCGGCAGCGGCGGCGCTCGCCAGGCAGCCGAGAAGCGCTCTGGAGGGCTCCATGGAGCGGCCGATCCATAGGGTGCGGGGCTGCCGCCGCCCGCAGGAACCGCCGCCGCCTATTGTTCATGCGGCTCCGCAGAGCTGGGGGGACCCCCCTCCCCCGACGGCGGCCGCAGGTAGGGCCCGGGCTGGCGGGGCGGGGAGAGCCGGCTCGCTGGGGCTGGCGCGGAGCGGCGACAAGTGCGCCGAGCGCGAGTGCTCACCGCGGCATGGGGGCGCGGCGGGCCCGAGCCCCAGCCTTCGCGCTCGCCCCCCCGGGGCGGCCTGGCCACCTCCGCCGCGGGTACCTGCTCGCGCAGCCGGTGCCCGCCGCCGCCCGCTGGCCGCCGCTCCCCTTTCCGCGCCGCGCCCCGCCCCCAGCGCCGCCCGCACGCCCGGGACCACCTGACGCGGACCTGGCTCCGCCCCAGCCCTGCGGACCCGAAGGGGCGGGGCCGCCCGGCACCGGACCCACCCCCCACACGCCAACCCGCCCTCCCATTGGCCGCGGCCGACAGTCCGCAGGTTCCTCCCGCCTGCCACCCGCCCGCCCCTCTCCACCCCCGGCGCCTACGTGTCCCTCCCCCGAGGCCCCGCCCCCTTTTGCGGGCTCTCATTCTCAACCCCAGGTCGACCCATTTCCCTCTCCCATTGGCCCGCGGCGGCTCCAACCATTGGTCCGCGCTACCTGTCCATTTCTTGCGAGAGTTCAACACCTCCTGGCTGGAGGAGGCTGCGGCCTCATTGGGTGCATGCGGAGGGATGGGTGGACCCAGAAAGGTAAGGCCGAGCCTCCATTCAGACCAAAAAGGCTGTGGGAGGCTGCGCCCTTTGTTTGCTGGCGTAGGGCAGTGGCCCCGTTGGCCAGCACCTGTGCTCTTGATCCTAAAGTGAGATTTTGAGAGGGAGCAGAGGAAGAGAGCTGGGTTGTACCTCCCCCGCCAGAACCCTTTCTTCTCTAGCTCCCTCCTGCAGTTGGGTTCTCCCCGCTCTTGGATGTGCGTCTGCCCCTGTCCAACCAGGTGGATCAGCTTCCGCTCCAAGCCCCACTCCCACCCAGGAAACCTTTAATCTCTATAAGGCCTTTAGGCCCATTGGAACGTTCTTTAGAAGCACTCTTAAAACTACAGTTCCCGCCCTTTTCACACAGTTCCCGCCTTTGTAAGAGATTCCAATCTTTTTAGACTTGGCACTTTTTAGAATTCAGAGAGAATGAATGAGAGACCACCTTACTGGGGCTTCAAACTGAGGCCGGAAAGCTCAGTTTGAAAACTATCCGTGAAGAGAGGGCTTGGCCTCTCTGAAGAGACTCGGTTTTTCTACTTTTGCTCGAATGAATTGCACCTCAGGTCATGGTGATCTCTAGAAATCAGATTAAGAACCAAAGTAGAATATACACACGGACCAATGCTACAGTTCATGACCAAGGACCAACCTTTTCCTACATCTTTTTCTTATCCTCCATTTCTCAAACATTAGGAAAGAATGAGGTAAGTGGCCCCGAATACTTCCTCTTTGTTGTAATCCTATCATAGTAATGTAGATTTCCAAGGAGAAAGTTTTCTGACATTTCAAAACAAGTTAGCACTAAAAGGTCCAGCCCAATCTCTACCAAACCGTGTACCCTTTTCCCTGATCAGTGGCACGAGTAAATACAATTTGCTTGGCAAGAGTTGGTGCTTCATTGAGTGTTTTCCGTTTAGTTTTAGGTGGAGGTTGATTGTTAGACGAGCTGGAGACAGTGGAACAATCAATCTGTAAAGGTAATCAAGGCCGGCATCTTCAGCCCTGTCCCAACTAGCTGCATGATCGTGGGCAAGTACTTAACACTGTAGTTCAGCCTGCTCATCCTTTAAGTGAGGGGGACCAACTGGAAGATCTGTGTTCTTGTAGGCCCCACATTCTGTGGTTTTCATAAAAGTATGGCTACACTGTATACCTAGGCATCCCACACACTGGAAGTCTTGGAACTTCTGAAGAGCATCCAGGGTAGGTCTTGAGGAAGGACTTCTGAGGAAACACCATAAAACAATGTTCAGATTCTTACCTGAACATCGAACTGGAAAAGATATGGATGAGTCCTTGAGTAAATTCACTGGGTTTTGTTCAACCTCGAACAAACTATTCCACCTTCAAGCAGAAGAGCAGGAAAGTGGGGGCGGGGGGGGGGGGGGGGGGGGTAGATGTATTCGGTTTAAAAAAAAAAGACCATAAGAAAAAAGATTTTTCTTGATCATCTTGGAGGGAAAATAAATTTTTCCTAGACACACACACAGAGAAATAGAAACAGAAACAACTAGGAAGATAGAAAGCTGTCAGTGGTAGATGTCTTTCAAGTAGTAGGATTTTTGACGTGGTTTTGGAGTGGTGGGCATCCGGAGCATCCGGCCAAGAAAGAATTCTTGAGACATCTTTGGTGCAAAAAGGTGATTTCATTAAAGCACGGGGACAGGACCCGGGGGCAGAAAGAGCTGCACTGGGGTTCTGATGGGTGACTGATTATATACCTTCAGGCTGGGAGGGGGTTAGGGATAGTGAAAGTCTAAGGAATTTTGGATGCAAGGTTTCCAGGACTTTGAGGGGGCTAGCTGTTGTTAGGAAAATGTTATTTATTATTGTCTAATAAACCTTTAGTCATGAGACCCTTAAGATATATATCAGTGAGGCATATGCTTGGAGGATGATTGCCAACATATATCTTGAGGGCGGCAGTAAAGATAAAGGAAGTTGCCAAAGGAATTTTTATATGTCAAAGTAGGCTTACAGGATTCTGGGGGATGAGGATCACGTTAAGCTAAGATTCCCTTTTGCCCTTAGCAAAGTGTCATCATCGAGGCAGCTGAGCTCCTAGAGGGAGATCACTCTGCCTGTCTCAAGGACTTGTCAATGGGCTGTAAGCGGTAAGTGAATTTACTTTTTCATTTGCCTGTTTCCTACATCATTATGAGTGATTGGGCAATTTTTATTGTCATTTTGTTGATTGGTAATTTTATATGTTTTACGGTAGCTTTTTTGATCTCCACTCTTCTCCCCCACCCCCACCCAGAGAAGAGGAAAAAAAGATCCTTGATCCCTCTCAGTAGGAAAAGCCTGACTCCTTATATAATTTAAATCTTTAATACGTAGCATGTGTTTAGGACTTCATGAAGAGTCGTTCATCAAACATTTCAAGAAGTCATTCAGTAAATATTTGTCCAATGGATAAGTGCTAGAAATTCAAACGAGGGAAGATCCTTTGGGTTCAAGTTGTGGAGCAGGGTTTCATGGAAGACGTGGAACTAAAGCCAGTCCTGGAGGGGTAGAGGGTGGAGCAGGGAAGAACCCACACCCAGGAAAAACAGGAGAGTAAGGGCACAGCCACAGAGGCGGGAATGGAATGAGTAGGCTCGTCTGAATGGAATAAAGGAGGAGAAGGAACTGAAAATAGGTTGAGACCAGATTCTAGAGAAACTTGTAATTGCTTAAATCATACTAATAATTATTTAGTTGATTATTTGTAATTATTTAATGTCCGGTTTGTTCACCATCAGGATAGAAACCCGTCTGTCTGGTTCTCTACCATTCCCCCAGCACCTCAAGAGTGCCTAGCACATAACTGGCTCTCAGTACCTATTTGTGACTGAATGGCTACCTTGAATACCAAGCTAAGAAGCCTGGCGTCTGTTTAGCAATTAAAAGGCTATCACTGAAAGCTTTTGCACAGGGCTGTGAGGTGATGAAATGTCTCTGTCACCTAGGACCAAGAGATGAGGAATGCGTAAGGAGGTGCTTAAGGTGGGCACTGAAGGATGTATGCAGCTTGATAACGGAGACTAGAAAGCGTGGACGAGGAAATCCATGTAATAGCAGCGGCACAAAATACCAGCCTGCAAAGAGGAGAGAGTGCAGAAAGGGAGTTGTGGGAAGTGAAATTGACCAACTAAAAAACGGGCAGATGGCAAAAGACTTTGAAAGCCGGGTGGAATTACCAAGATTTTACCATTGTTAAGTTGAGGAGAGGTTGACAAATATCACCCAGAAAAGGACCATTTTCTCCACCATACTGAAAAGTATAGCATAAAGTGGGGAGACAATAATAGCGATCAGCAATGCAAGTTGGCACCAGACTTCTGTCAGATCATGATTTATCCTAGCTCTGTTCATTAAAAACTGTGTGCCTTTGGGCAAGGTGCCTGTCTGAGCCTCAGTTTCCTCATTGTTAAATAGGTATAACAATAGAAACTCCTTTTTCTAGAAGCTTATAGGATTAAATGAGACCAATCATACAAAAGCTCTCAGCATGCTGCTTAGCGCCCCCTAAATATTCAGCATGTTTACTTCCTTCTTTGCTCCACTCATCACCCTCAGAAACAGCCTTTCATCACACCCAAGGAAACTGCAAAGGCTTCCTGACTGGGAGTTCAACTATGGTTTTTCCGTCTAAAAAAGAGAAGGGAGGCAAAAGGAAGGAGAAGAGAGAAGGGAGGAAGGATGGGAGAAAAGAAGGAAGGGAGGAGGGATGGAGGTAGGGAGTAAACAGAAGGGGAAAAAGAGCAGACTGATGGTTAAGTCTGGGGCCTCGGACTCTGACAGAATCCATACTCACTGTTTGCCATTCGGCAAGTTAATCTCCCAGTGTTGCAGATCCCTCTTTAGGAAAATGGGGATGATAATACTTCTCTTGGGGCACCTGGGTGGCTCTATACGTTGAGCGTCTGACTCTTGATTTCAGCTCAGGTCATGATTTCACAGTTTGTGGGACTGAGCCCCACAATCTGTGCTGTCTGTGGTGACAGCGCAGAGCCTGCTTGGGATTCTCTCTCTTCCTCTCTCTTTCTGCCCCTCCACCCGCACTCTCTTCTCTCTCAAAAAAAAAAAAAAAAAAAAAAAAAAAAAAAAAAAAAAAATTAAAAAACATAAGATGTACTTATTTGCTGATCAAAGAAGTATGTTATTATAAATGATTATGAAAACATTTAATGATGTGGAAATGTGCTTAATATTATGATAAATGAAAAATGATTGAAAAAAACCCCTTTATA